CTAATATACAGTATACATATACATTGGACAAAGGAGATGCAGCTCTACCACTGTCTTTGTTGAGTTCTGCTGATAGGATTCCTTCCTTGCAGTTTGCATGTTAACATATTCCAGCAGTTCTGAAATCTGCCCAGAAAAAGGGACAGACTTCATGTTCTCTATAGTGCCTTAAATGATAGGGCTTCAAGCAGCAACTAGATCTTTATCAGAATATGTTGTAAAGGTTCTGATTGAAACACTGGGGTGGGAGCTGAGCTGAAATGAATGTAGGCAAAGCTCAATGAACTGAAGCTACGCTGTAAAAAAAGAATGGGTTAAAAAATCCCGTACCTCTAACTTTAATGAGCCAAGCACAGGATATAAAGCCAACACAGCTACTACTGCTAATATTCCATCTTCTGCTAAAAGTGAAGTAACGTCCTGCATGTTTCCTCATCAGATAAGTGAGCTGCAGTCAGACCTGTCGGCCTGTAGAGAAGAGCTGAACTCTTACAGGCTCCACGTGGAGGATGTCAAGAACAACTATGAGACCGAGCTGCAGAAGAAACATGACAAGGTGTGGTTTCAGACCCACTGAAGAAAACCTGAACCACACTGCCAGGCCCAGCTCTCAGACCTGTTCCTTCTGGTTCCTCAGGTGTCCTTCCTGCAGGAGAAGCTCCACAGCATCACCTCTGTTCACCAGAGCTGCAGTGAGCAGAACCTGCAGCTGCAGGTGTGTCTGCAGCAGCAGCAGACCATGCTGACTGAGAGCACGGCTCGGGTGTCTGAGCTGGAGGAGAGCCAGAGCCAGCTGCAGAGACAGGTCCGTCGGGGAGCGTCTGTGTTTTATAACGTACTGTCATTTCACAGGAAGTATCACCTTAGAAGAGCATCAAAAATATTGTTTTTACATTTGATTTAATTCAAGTGTTTTTAGCTACAAATGCAAATGTTAGTTTATGATTTCCTTTACCTTGATTGTAAGCAGTACATTTTTAGATTTCAGACATTTTTTTGGATCTGCAGTAGCCTGGCCCTTGTCTTCCTACGCAGTTACGCTCAATTCTGGTTTCCCTTGTCCTGATGCATCTCAGTAATCCAGGTAGAAAAAATCAAAAAGAAAAAATCAGTAGGTCCTCTGGATGGTTCTTCTTTAGTGAAACGTTTCGTCTCTCCTCCAAGAGACTTCTTCAGTCTGATGAGTTTCAGATGAACTCAGCCTTATAAGCTCCACCTCCACATGGTGGACAAACAGGTTAGTCACATGCAAAAGAGTGTCATCAACTAACAATAGGTTTGATTAGCTCTATTGTTCACAGAGGGTCATGTGCCCCATCACCTGACTTATTGGTTTGGATGCTGTGGGAAAACAAACCAAAACAAAACAAGGGGACTTTGAGCCCCGCCTGCATTCACTACATACACATGACATGACACCTAAGAACCACAGTATTTTAAAGATTAATAAAGATAAGTAAAGAAATTCACCCAACGTTATATTTAATCAGTTTTTTTGGTTTGTCCTGTTTACAGCATTTCAATTCATTATATTTTGACAAAATGCAATTTTTACACGTTTAAATCAAATCCCTATAAGTGCCTATTTTTCCACATTCCACTTTTGTACTTAATCCTGGTTTCGATGTGATGGGTCACATATAATTATATGAATATTCTATAACCATGTCAGTGCTATGTTCTCCTAAYCTTGTGTCCTCTAATATAAACGTATGAATAAAAATGGATTTTCTGCTCATTGGAAACACAAACACATGCTATATGTCCTGTTGTCTGCAGCTGTCCGGTCTGGAGCAGCAGCTGGAACGAGCTCGGGTGTCTCAGCAGGAGGAGGCGAGGAGCAGAGAGCAGGAGGCACAGGTGACCTCCAAGAAGCTGCAGGAGACGAAGCAGCAGAACTCAGAGCTGTCTGAGTCCATCAGGTCAGGAYATGTTGGGCAAACGAGGAGACTTGAACTTCTCTTTAAATTAAWACGTTTTGTCAGTTTGATAAAGTTGGACCTTTCATGCTCTGTGGTTTTGGGTGCTGCAGCCGTCTGACTTCAGACATGAAGATGTGTGAAGCTGAGCTGGCTGCCAAGGAGTCTGTGTTGGAGCGCCTGAAGAGAGAATTTTCCATCAAGACGGCTCAGATTGGAGAGCTGGAGGAGAACCTGCAGCACACTAAGAGCCAGCTGGTCACCAAGACKTCACTGGGTACAGTCAGTCCTTCATAGACCAGAGCAGGGTTCCACAAATCCTAYTGCCCGACTGCCCGSGKCAGKTAAAACTCATATTCGGGCAGGTGGGTGTGTCCCGATGCCTGCCCGACCGGGCAGGTAACCAGTTTCATTTATTATTTTATACGGCCATTTATTCAAAATCATCTGAAAATAAATGAAGAAATATGGCGTTTTAAAACACGTAAAGAGAGAATAAATCATCAAAATGTCCCCCTCCCTCCCGCTGTAGAAAAGTTACATGTTGCCGTCGTGTCGCAGGATCTCTTCCTCCCTCCTTCCTGCTGCACGTCGCGCAGAGAGAAGCTTTAACAACCGTAGCTTTTTTCACACCCGTGTTTTCAGAGGAAAAAAATGTTTTTTTATGTATTGTTACCTGCAGAGATGAAAAAAAAATGTTTGTTCAGTCATAAATCCATCTTACTGATGTCAGCTTCTGCTCTGATGAAGAAGATGATGAAGATGAGAGAGCAGCAGCAGCGGGTCAGAAGCTCATTGTATGGCAGGCCGATCTATCATTTATTTGGCTTCACCACACTTATATTCTAGTTATCTGAAATTGTTTTATGGCTAAATTAGACATATTAGTTATTTAGGATAAAATAATAAAATGTTTTCTTTTATTATTTTGTTTTATTTACTTTATTTCTTTTAATTTGGAGATCTTTCCAGCTTGTTTGTGTGTTGAAGTTGAATTTTGAAAATAAGGGGCAAATATGATGAGGTTTTTTTTTACTTCACTCTGCACCCTTTTACTTCAGGGTATGATTGTTTTTTAATGCTGTACATAGATGGTTTTGTTTTTATGAAGGAAAGAAACAAACAAACAAATAAATAGACATCTCTTAATATATTTTAACAATTCAAAATACCTATTTAAGATATCTCTAATTATATTCTGACTTGTATAAATAACATTAGATTTATCATCATGTTGTATGGAGACTTCAGTTCAACATATCTTAAATGTATCTTTGGATATGAAATTCACTATATAAGATTTAATTAATGCAAATTTCAGACTTTTTCATGTTCTGTAAATTGTATTTAAAACAAAGCTGCTGCTGTTGTCAGATGTTCTTAAAACAATTGACTGTTAGTAACTCAGTCTAAAATGTTTGCATCTGTTTAATCAGATGTCATATATTATATACCTCTGTATAACCATGTTAGTATTTTTGTAGTACAAAGTACAGTACACTTTTTTTCTCATTTTATCAAAATTTGAACATTTTTGTTTCGGGCAGGTAACTTTTCATGTCGGGCAGGTAAAAAAACAAATCTTGTCGAACCCTGGAGCAGACTGTTGTTGTAATTATAACCAGAACAACTTAAAGTTTGTTAAATGTATCTGGGCTGTTTCCTGCTCTCTTTCTCTCATTCTTATCGCTCATCTTTCCTCAGTCGATCGTCTGGAGGAGAAGCTCCATCGCTGTGAGGCAGACCGGATCAGCTGTTCACAGAAAGCCCAGATCCTGGAGAGACGGTCACACACGGTGCAGGAAGAGCTGGCTGACACCCTGGAACAGTTCAAGGAGCTCAGAGACGTCCTGCAGAAAAGCCAAAGCACCTCTGAAGAGCGGCGAGCACGAGTGGACGAACTGACCGAGCAGCTTGGGTGAGGACAGACATGATGTGTTCTTCTGTACACAGGTGTAAAACCTGCTCTGCATCCACGTTTTCTGTTTGAAACACCATCTGTATCACCTGCTGACAGAGGGTCACACAGTCTGTTACCAGAAACTGTCAGAAAGTAACCTCTACATGTTCATCAACAACTGATTCACTGATGGAAACAAGATGGCTGCCACAGCTAGCTGACCTTACAAACACACATGTGGGACAACTCTAACAGTTTTAAATATTATGACCTTAAAGTTGGTGTGATAGGAACTAAAAATCATTTGCAACTCATTGATTAGGTTCGATTTCTGTTTAAATTTTGCCACCAACTATTGCAACCAGGGGTGGAAATTAAAAATTTTCCCCAGCAGCCACAGTGGCTGGTAGAAAAAGTTTTGTACCGGCCACTCAAACTTTTTAACAGCCACTATTTTTTGTTTCTGTAACACGGTGCATTTAGACATTTCATGGTCCTGGTGGTTTAATTAAATTGTTTGAGCCTACAATCAGATAATAACACTCAAAATCTGTTAGTGTCTTATAAGTGTTCAAGTCAGCCTGTTTGACAAAATTAAAATGGACTTTTTGAAGTCTCTACTTCTCTTACTAACTTGCTTTTTGCTGGTATGTAGGTGGAATAACAATTATTTTAGTTTGGTACTTGGCTGGAAAAAAAGCTTTTTRTCCTTAATAATATAGGAGAAATTTTCAAGGTGAAAACAAAAACTAAATTACCTGAGGTACATTTATCTCCTTCATTTAATAAAATCAGACTTTATCACTTGTAGTTTTTGTTCTACAGGCTACTAGTAAGAATATGTGTCTTTCTTCTGTTCTAAGTGAGATTTCAATAACAGATGAAATCCCTCYAGAGCAGGGGGGTCAAACTCATTTTCACCGAGGGCCACATGAGTGTTATGGTGGCCCTGAAGGGCCAGTTGTAATGAACTTTGATGTTTCATGTTTAACTTTGACTAAACAGAGTTTTAACACGTCCTCTTTTAAACACTGATAAGAACTAAGTGACTGACTAAATCTGAAACTAATAAAGTTTTACTCACTGATGAGTTTCTAGTGAGTAGGTGCATTATGTCAGATTTAGTTTATGTTTGATGCGGACTTTAAAGCAGCTTATTTTCAGACATTAATACTGTGTAATACAAACTAACTGCTCAGTTACTTCAAGCCAGCAGCTCAGTGGTAGGACAATTATTAATATCTTTCACCTTTTACATTTATTTTGTTGCATTCAATCTTAAATTTATAG